CGGGGCCTGAAGGGGTGTGGTCTAAAGGGGCGTGGTTTAACCTCGGGGGTGTGGCAGTACCGATGACATCACTGCGTTGGGATGTGAAACAAGGGGTTAAAATGGGGGCGGGGCTTTCAGCTGTGGGCGTGGTCACGGCGAGGGCGTGGCCTGGCGCAGTGGGCGTGGTCTCCGCCCCATTCCCCCCCCCCATTCCCGCTTTTCCAGGACCTGGAGTCGCTGTCGCAGGAGCTGGCGCAGCTCAGGAAGGAACAAGCGACCCCCTCGGGACCCCCCTGAGGGGCGGGGCCTCGCCCCCGCCCCGCCCCCCCCCGCGCAAGCTCCGCCCCCCGGCCGGGGCGCTGCCCCTTTAAGGACGCGGTGGGCCCCACCGGCATCGCCCCTTTAAGGGAGGAGCGGTTCCTTCCGTGGCGTTGCCGCTTTAAGAGCGGGGGCGGTGCCCGCCGCGGCGTTGCCCCTTTAAGGAGGCCGTGGGCCCCGCTCCGGGGTTGCCCGTTTAAGGGGGTCCCGCATGCGCCCCCCTCTTCCCCCTCAATAAACTTGATGTGAATATCTGCCTGTGACGTCATTTTGCTGCGTTGGGAGGGGTGGGGGGAGCCGGTGACGTCATCAGAGGAGGACGCGCCTCGGCTGAGCCGTCCCCGTGACGTCACTTCCGGGCACTGCCCCGGATGTTGTTGCCGCGGCCGCGGCCGCAGGACCGGGCACGGGCACGGGCGCGGCTCCGGATCCCCCCCGCAAAAAACCGCGCACCGTCCAGCCGGGGGGGCGCGGCGTGACGTCAGCACGGTGACGTAACAGCAGCCCCCCCCGCTTCCCCGGTTTGGGGGGGGGGCGGCGGCGGCGGCGAATTTCCCCCAACCCCCCCCCTTTACCGACACCCCGCCCCAACATGGCGGGGGATCCGTTTGGCGGGGCCTCGCCGGGGGGCGGGACCGGCTTCGGGGGCGGGGCCGCGCTGGAGGAGGAGTGCGAGGTTGTGCGCGTGCGCGTCAAGGTAAGGGGCGGGNCCGGGGGGCGGGACCGGCTTCGGGGGCGGGGCCGCGCTGGAGGAGGAGTGCGAGGTTGTGCGCGTGCGCGTCAAGGTAAGGGGCGGGGGCCTCGCGTGGGTTTGGTGACGTCATTTGAGAACGTGTGCGGGGGTCACGTTGGCTCCGGTAGCCAATCAGCTCGGGGGGGGCGGTTCCTTGGCGTTGCCGCCAGCGGCGGGAAATTTTCCCGCCTCTGCTTCACGTGGGGGGCCGGCAGCCAATCAGCGGCGAGGGAGGCGCGCGGCGCTGCCGTGGTGACGGTGCCGCGCCTCCATCTTGGACCGCCGTGAGGGCCCGGGCGGCGCCGGCGCCCTCATGGATCCCCCCCGGGACTCTCCGGGGTTCCCGAACGCTCCTCCCGCAGAAAAACGAGGGCCAGCAGCCGCCCGAGTTCCGCTCGTTCGCCGTGGACCCGCAGATCACGTCCCTGGACGTGCTGCAGCACATCCTGGCCCGGGCCTTCGACCTGCAGGGGTGAGTGGGACCCCCTGGTTTCCCTCCCAGGTGACCCCTCAGAGCACCCAGGTGAGCTCACCTGTCCCCCCTCAGGAAGAAAAGCTTCGTCCTGAGCTTTGCGGCGCGGGATGGGCAGGGCCAGGACACTTTTGTGCCTCTGCTGAGCGATGGGGACTTGGCCAACGCCTTCACCTGCGCCCGGCCCACCCTGAGGCTTCGCCTGGACGTCAGGAACCCCCCTGACAGTGAGTGACACACCTGGGACACACCTGGGGGATACCTGGGGGATACCTGGGGCACACCTGGGAGACACAGCTGGGTTTCGGGTGGGTGTTGGGTGCATGTGGGAGTCTCCCTGTGGGGCTCAGGTGAGTGAGGTGGGAGGTAGGAGGAGTCTCAGGTGTGCTCAGGTGTGTGAGGTGCCTGTACCTGTCCCCAGGCCCGTTACTGGAGGACTGGGACATCATCAGCCCGCGGGAGGTGGCGGCGGCCGAGCCGGTCCCCGAGCGCCGCTCGCTGCTGGCGGCGGCCCTGCCCTTCACCCAGGCCTTGCTGGCACAGGTGAGCACACCTGGCACAGGTGAGAGCTCTCTTGGGCCCCTCCCGGTGGCCTCCCAGTGGCAGCAGTGCCGTTCCCACAGGTGGGCCGGACGCTGGCGCGGGCGCAGGCGGCTCTGGCGTGGCCCGAGGGGACCCCGGCCGTGTCCCCGCCCCCGCCCCCTCCCCCACCCTGCGCCCCCCTGAGCGACGCTGACCTGAGGATGTACCTGGGCCCAGGTGGGCGCCTGCTGAGGCCCCAGGATTTGAGGCTGCACGTGTTCCACGGGGG